AGTTTTGCTCGGATTGAGGTAAGTAACACTTCTAAGCTTGGTGCTGAGGGTATGAAACTCTGTGTCACACCCCAACCTTGGGAGGTGTGGCTGGCACCCGATGCCCGAAGGCCCGAGCGAACCAACCATGAGATATGATCTGAAATATAATAACCTGCAGGCAGAAGAGCCCAACACGACATATATATATATATATAAACTAGGCCAACAAGGCTGCAACAACAGTATAACAACTATCTAGAAAGCTGATAGGGTGATACGAAAAATATATATATACAATGACCGCTAGTCTGCAAGCCTCTAAGAGTGTAAGACAATCTCAACAGGGCGGGACAAAGCCCCCGACATGCCCAAAACCACACATATACATCTGTAATAGTACCTATGGACTCAAAGTCAGCAACTCCGAAGAAGTGGAGTGCGAAACCAAACGCTGATCTCGGGGGTCCTACTGAGGAGGCACGCCGCTCTGTCTATTCGAACCTGTAGGCATGAACACAACGCATAAAAATGTGTCAGTACGAAATATGTACTGAATATGTAGGGCGACAAGTGTAACATGAAAAATGTAATTAACAAGAGAAGAGACATAGAGACAATTTGAATTCCGAAACTAGCCTCGGTAGGAAACTAAAATTCAACATGGATATAAATGTATGCTCGTGACACTGTCGTTCACTATCCCTACTTATAATATATCACATTATATAATAATAAATCCCTCTGTGGGGCTATAATATCCATAACATACCCGGCCATAATAAAGGCTCGGTATAATCGTACCTGGCCACGTGAAGCTCGGTAATCCCAACTGATCAGTGGTTACACAATATGTGTCACACCCGGCCGTCTATAGTGCGGCTCGGTAATGAATGTAAATACATACATATACTAAATCATGAATTATATAGGTGCAATGCGAAACCAACCTTAAAAGACGTATTCTAAGAAGAGTCAAAGTGGCCTATCATCATTATTCCCCGACTATCATGGTTGTGGCTAAAAATATTTAATTTTCAACTACGAGCCAACAAGTACTAAGAACATGAGAGTTATATATTATGAGTACCTTTGAAGTAAATGTTACTTATTCATGATTTATATGAACGTCGAAAGGAGAACGAGTAAAAAGGCTCTAGTTCTTTTTAAGCAAGGAACAAGGAAATCCGAGAATTCATAGATATCCTCTAGAGTAAGCAATCTATGAGAAAAGATCAGGTCTAAGCATCTTTATAAGTTGAAGGTGAAATAACTCGAATCCGACGAGACAATTCGATAAACGTTTATTCGAATTCTAGTCATGCCGAAAAGTATAGCGAAAGCCCTACATACCTTGTCGATGGAGTTATATACTGTTTCCAAGACCTCAAAAGCCTTAGGAATGATTTCCTACATAATACAAACCATTCAAAATCAAATTCAAGCTCATAGCTTAAATAATTCTTCATTTAGACATTTACGCGAACAACTTGTGGCCATGAATTTGTAGACTCTTTTGTAGATTAATTTCCCCCCAACACACCACCAAATTTTTCTTTACTACATCTCCTCATCAACAGAATTCCATCCATGTCTTCACAGATCAAAACAACACAATAAAACCATATAGAACAGCCCCAACAATCAAGCCATATTAATAGAGGTTTCTTAAAAAAAATCAAGAATATTTCTATAGAGGTTTCAACTATTTCTTAAGAATTCTTATGGTAGAAGTTTACAAAGATCAAAGAGGAAGTTAAATCATACCTTATGTGACCAGAATTACTCAAAATTCGAAATTACTTCAAGGCGGAGTCTTGCTATGAAAAGTGAAACACCGAAGAATTCACGATTCCGAAGCTACCATGGTGTTCTCCATCTTGAGGATGACTAAATTGTTGTTATGCTTGGCTAGATGGATGGGAGAAGTTTGAGAGGAAATCCCTAGGTTTTTGGTTCTGTTTTGGAGAGGATAAAACGCAGGGGTTCTGTTTTAAAAATTGACTTAAATAAAGAAATTTTGACTAAACCCGACTAGGCACACTGTTCCCGTAACAGTGTGCACCCCTGTACGAAAATGGTAATATCTATCTACTCCGAAGTCGTATTAATGAACGGTTTGTTGCGTTGGAAACTAGACTCATAGACCTTCGATTCGGTAGGTAGAACACACCATAACTCCCAGTATATTGAGAGAAAAGCTCATCAACATTTTATCCAAATTCCAGTGAAATTTAAACCCGTAACTTGCGCGCGATCTTTGTCGAATTTTTAATCACAACTCAAATGACTTCCAATCTTAACGTATAACTATCGCATAATTTAAATATCTCATAGAAATTATCTTCCTATCGAATTAGCCCATTTACAGCATGATAACGCCGAATACACAAGGTGTAACAAGTATATTATGCTGGAGTATTTTTCGGATTTTGAACAATATTTTCGTCAGATTTATCTTTACATGAAAAGTAGCTAAATTTCGATTACTTTTGAAACTGTGGCTATTTTTGAATGACCACTTGTAAATCTGGCTATTTTTGAATTTCTTCCCACCATATTATCCACTTAGAAAATGGTTGACCAAATGGATAATTAATGTATTTAACTTTTACATTTGTAAAACCTCAAATTGAAGTTCCTCAAGTTTGGAAGACTTNATTTAGACATTTACGCGAACAACTTGTGGCCATGAATTTGTAGACTCTTTTGTAGATTAATTTCGCCCCAACACACCACCAAATTTTTCTTTACTACATCTCCTCATTGACAGGATTCCACCCATGTCTTCACAGATCCAAACAACACAATAAAACCATATAGAACAGCCCCAACAATCAAGCCATATTAAGAGAGGTTTCTTAACAAAATCAAGAACATTTCTATAGAGGTTTCAACTATTTCTTAGGAATTCTTATGGTAGAAGTTTACAAAGATCAAAGAGGAAGTTAAATCATACCTTATGTGACCAGAATTACTTAAAAATCGAAATTACTTCAAGGCGGAGTCTTGCTATGAAAAGTGAAACACCGAAGAATTCACGATTCCGAAGCTACCATGGTGTTCTCCATCTTGAGGATGACTAAATTGTTGTTATGCTTGGCTAGATGGATGGGAGAAGTTTGAGAGGAAATCCCTAGGTTTTTGGTTCTGTTTTGGAGAGGATAAAACGCAGGGGTTCTGTTTTAAAAATTGACTTAAATAAAGAAATTTTGACTAAACCCGACTAGGCACACTGTTCCCGTAACAGTGTGCACCCCTGTACGAAAATGTTAATATCTCTCTACTCCGAAGTCGTATTAATGAACGGTTTGTTGCGTTGGAAACTAGACTCATAGACCTTCGATTCGGTAGGTAGAACACACCATAACTCCCAGTATATTGAGAGAAAAGCTCATCAACATTTTATCCAAATTCCAGTGAAATTTAAACCCGTAACTTGCGCGCGATCTTTGTCGAATTTTTAATCACAACTCAAATGACTTCCAATCTTAACGTATAACTATCGCATAATTTAAATATCTCATAGAAATTATCTTCCTATCGAATTAGCCCATTTACAGCATGATAACGCCGAATACACAAGGTGTAACAAGTATATTATGCTGGAGTATTTTTCGGATTTTGAACAATATTTTCGTCAGATTTATCTTTACATGAAAAGTAGCTAAATTTCGATTACTTTTGAAACTGTGGCTATTTTTGAATGACCACTTGTAAATCTGGCTATTTTTGAATTTCTTCCCACCATATTATCCACTTAGAAAATGGTTGACCAAATGGATAATTAATGTATTTAACTTTTACATTTGTAAAACCTCAAATTGAAGTTCCTCAAGTTTGGAAGACTTGGAATTCTCTCATAAATGATCATATTTAAGAAGCCATGGATAATATGGATATCCATATTATCCGCCGGATAAACCTGTTTTTATTCGTCTCATATACGGGTCGGATAATTAATTCGTTTTTTTTTAAATTACTTGTTTTGACCCGCTCATATCCAACCCGACCCGCCCGTTTGCCATCCCTAGGTGCTATCATGGTAGCAAGAGATATCAGACAGTGATGGTTCATCTATTAATACCCATTATTCTTCTGGACTTGTATAGGCTGCACCAATTAAAATATATTTGTATGGTTCAGCTTAAACTCTTGCAAAGGGAAATAACACGTTAGTAGCAAGAAGGCATTCCACCTTGATGTGCAATTCACAATTCAATCTGTGGGGAACCTTTGGGATAGGATGGCTCACTTGTGCTCTCTTTTTCCAAAGTGGCATTTCAAATCCTATAATGCTGTATTTCTATGAGGCCAGTTTTTAGACCTGAGAATCTGTGAGAGAAGCTCCTATTCGACTTCAATACTGACTGTCATCACTATTCAGAAGCCTTTATGTCTTGGCAGTTGCTATGAAGCCAAAGCAATCAATCCTTGGACGCAACATCAAGTCAGAGATCTTGCCATTGCACCTGCCAAAAAGAGGTGTGTAACCTATTTTAGAATATATGCATAGGCAAAAGTAACCGCCATTTCCTATCAACGACAACATGAGATATTAAAGACTATATACAAGTTAAAGATCATACAAATTGTAGTTTCTGGAACAAGCATGCGCCTTTTTATCAATCAAAGTTTGTCTGGAACAAACTTTATAGCAGAAAAGGAAACATCTTCTCCTTTTTTGCCTCGCCCTTTCCTGGAACAAATGTCTCTCAGATAACTCGTGAAACATGTATATCAACTTAAGCTCAATCCAACCACTGGGCTTGAAGAATTGGACCTTCTTGGCACATTTTATAATGCTTTAGTAGAATAGTAACTTGACATGTTATTATCTTGTCATATACCCGATAAAGACCAAGGAATTTCAAGTTCTAAAAGTGAAAACTCCAGAGAACATAAGAAGGAAAATAATTGAGATTTTCATTTGTCCAACTTCTGAAAATTTTGGTTGAAATAAGGCAACAAAATTGGCGAATAAGAGGACACTTAAAAGAAATTAGATTTCACAAACATAGACTGGGTTTCCAAGTAGATGAAGTACTGAGATACCATCTGTCTATTTTCTCTACCTTTCTACAGACTGGTTTCAATTAAGCTATAACCGAAGTCTTTCTTCAAATTCTTCTCATCCATGAGTTGCCTCAACTGTTCTACCTCTTTCCATCTTCCCTGCTCTGCGTATAAGTTAGACAGAATCACAAAAGAGCTTGTATTTTCTGGGTCTAAAGCAATGAGCCTTTTGGCAACGATCTCACATATTTCAATTGATATGCAAGTTTTTCTACAGCCAGCAAGCAGAGTTCCCCATATCCGCTTATCAGGTTCAACAGGCATGTTGTTGACGAATTCAAGAGCTTCTTCTACATTGCCTTGACGACTAAGCATATCAACCATGCACGCATAATGTGCAAGTTTTGGTGTAACACTGAATCTCTCTTCCATTGCATAAAACCAGTTCCATGCCTCATATTCAAGACCACAATGACTGCAGGCAGATAGAGCAGAAATGAAAACAACATCATTTGGTTTAATCCCAGTGTTTAACATGTCTAAGAAACACTGAAGAGCCTCATTTCCATGCCCATTAATTCCATAGCCATTGATCATTGAGCTCCAACAAATAAGATCTTTGCTAGGACATTCACTGAAAATTGCCTCCCCTTGGCTTATGCGTCCAAATTTGCAATACATGTCAATAAGTGAGGATATCAAAAAGGCATTTGATGTATTTCCAATTTTTACCACTTGTGCGTGTATACCTTCTCCAATCTCTTCAGCAGCCATCGAAGAACAAGCACGTAATAGGCTGACATAGATGATCTCGTTAGGCTTCTCATTTGCTGATCGCATCTGCTGATATATATCAAAAGCATTACTAGGCAGTTCGCTTTGGGCATATGCTGCAATCATCGTACTCCAGGCAATAAGATCTTTTGGTTTCAGGTGATCAAACAGACTCCTGGCCGACTCAATATCACCAAAACCACCATACATGTGAAGAAGAGCAGTTACTACCGAAACAGATCTCGAATATCCCTGCTTGAGCACGAGGCTGTGAAAACACTGCCCAATTTTAATCTCATCCAATTGTGACAATGCTCCAATTACTTCGCGAATAACACTCTCATCTGGCTCATAGCAACAATATCTCATTTCAGAGAATAAACTCAAAGATTCACTGAAACTGTCGTTTTCTACACATCCATGAATCATAGTCCTCCATGAAACAAGATCCTTCTTCTCTATTCCGTGAAAAACAGTTAGGGAAGGCTTCAAACTCCCACATTTAGCATACATATCCACAAGGGAATTTTGGATATTAACATGAGAAATAAACAAACTTTTTATTGAATAAGCATGAATTTCTTTTCCAACTTTCAAAGCACCAAGATTGGCACAAGCAGGGACAATCCCCACAATGCTAACATAATTTGGTTCCACACCAAAGGATAGCATTTTCCTGAAAAGCTCAACAGCCTCTACGTACTCTCCACTCTTGACACAAGCTGAAACCATTGCACTCCACAAAATTACATCTTTGCCTCTTGTGTGATCAAATAATTTCCATGCGGTATCCATATCCCAAATAGAGTTAACACCAACAAGAGCCGTCACAACGGGCAGTTCCAATTCAAATCCCATTTTGATTGTGAACCCGTGAATTCCTTTGACCATAGGCTCCCATTTTTCGACAGCTCTTATAATGCTTAAAACTGTCACGTAATTGGGTTTGTGTTCATTTCTTAGCATTGTTTTGAACAAGTAGATGGCTTCGATGGATTGGTTTTCCCTCACCAAACTGGATATTTTTGACGTCCATGATCTCACATTTTGTTTTCCAGCAAACTTAAGTGGGTGCAAAAAAAAGGAGCTTTCGCGCATGTTCAATGAAATTCGCGACGAGTAATTTCTCTTTGGAAATTTAGTAAACAGCTTGTATGCATTTTTAACTACTAACTTCATCAACAATTCATTGAACAATAAAAGTCGCCAAATCGGGCTAATATTCTATTGGATAAGCACATATGCATATGCAAAGAGAGAGACATGCAGAAGAACCAGCATAGCAGCACAACCAAGCTGAGACCTTGTTGTGATGGCGAGGAAACTTCTGTTTTTGGTTCTGTCCCTGTTATCTTAACTGTTTCTGGTAACCATATTAGTCCCTAACTAATGGCTCAATAGCTGTTTGGTTCTTCAAATTAGCACATATCTCCCCGTGTCATATAATCAAATGAACTAAAGAACTTACCACGTCTGCAATTTTTTATTGTTACCTTTGGTAAGAGTTGTTCCTTTGACTTTGGTCCTCAATTCAAATTTCTCGGGGAAAAGTTTTATTGTGGTCGAGACGCAACCAACAATAGTTGACAAGTGTCTGTTGGGCCCCACATTGCCAGCAGAGGGGAAGTGCACAATTAGCCATTAATTAAAGATGTCTTCACTTTTTAACTACTTGCGAAAATTTTAACCACTAATTTTTATTCGCCCAGGCAAAAACACCCCGGTGCTAGATATGGTTAATGCGTAAATATTAAGGATATGGTTGTATTGGGAAAAAACTGAGTTTATATTAAAGATGATGTGGCATGACACGTGGTTTAGTTAAATGGTCAAAGCGCAATAATTGACTAAGAGGCACGGATGGAGACAACCACGGGAAGAAGAATTTAAATAGGCACGGGACGTCGTATAGATACGAGTCTCGTACCAATTTAAATTATTTACAGTCAACGGATTAGAAGGCATTAAAGACAAAGATCTGATGACAGAAAGGAGTCCAAATTCATTATTAAATACTTGATACGTTAAAAAATCGGTATTTAATAGGAATGATTGTGTAACGGCTTATTTAATGTCATTTATTATTCGTAATTATATCATTAAATCTGAGGCTTCATTCCTTTACCTAGAATTATCTATAAAGGGAAGAAGTATCATCATTTGTAAGGACACGGAATACTATTGAGAATTCATTGAAATACACAACTATTTACTGCTTTACCATCATTCTCAAAATTATTTTATTTTGTCTCTTGATTATCAGTAACCCGAATTTCTTTTTAGCTTTGACCAAAGACTCAGATTTTTGGTTAAACAAATTGGTTCCGTTACCGGGAATCTGATAATCTTTTCTTTTAAACTATATCTTATCTATATTGTCGTCACCATGTCAAACAACAACACCAACAACAACAGTAATAACACATTGGGAAACCATGAGAATCAAATACATCAAAATCAAGATGACGTGGTTCCCTCTCCTCTAAATTCACCACGTCAATCTCGTGAAGGCACTCCTGTTACTGAATCCCGTGTTGATCAACAAGAGCAATCTGAACATTTTGAAGGAGTTACAACTGAAGCTTTACAAAAGCTAATTGATGCACAGGTCGGCAAAGCTCTTCAGGCACTTGTTAGTCGATTGCCTGCTGCGCCACCCACACCAACTCCTAATAATAATACATTGGAGAATCCCCGTTCTGGTCTTGATAATTCTGGAAACGGAGCAACCCCCAGTGAACCACAGGAAGGGGGACCAGGTAATTTAAATAATTCATATTTGCAAAATTTAGTACTAACCTTGCAGAAACAGCTTAAGGAACAAAATGAGCGTATTGAACAAATCCCTGGAGTTCCGCCTGTAATAAAAGGAGTAGACATGGACAAATACTCACAACAACCATGGAAGCCAAGTGCTGCTCCCCTTCCAATTCCGAAAAAGTTCAAAATGCCTGACATCCCGAAATATGATGGTACTACAGACCCACGTGACCACGTGACTGCATTTACAACAGGCGTAAAAGGCAACGACTTGACCAAACAAGAAATTGAATCAGTATTGGTCAAGAAATTTGGAGAAACACTCACCAAGGGTGCATTAACCTGGTATTCTCTTTTATCTGAAAATTCTATTAATTCTTTTGCTGAGCTTGCAGATTCTTTTATTAAAGCACATTCGGGAGCACAAAAGGTTGAGAAAAGAATGGAAGATTTACCCATGTCAGCACCACATAGGCGTCAATGGTCTAAAACACACGCCTAGCACATAGTTTGGTCCAAATCTAACCTAACCCCTTTCCTTCCTTAGACCATCTCCAACCCAACATCAATTTTGACATCAAACACCATTTTAGTGTAAGATTTAGTATTTTTTTGCTTTAACCCAACACCATTTCTTACACCATTTTGGTATATGAATAGTGTTACACCAAATTTAGTGTAACACTATTTATCAATACCATTATTATTCACCATTATTTTAATATTATCTTTTATTATATAACACTTTTAATTTAATATATTATAATTTTGTAATTAATTATAGTTTTTATGTAATATCTTTATAATATTAATTTTATATTTTAATTTTGGTGTATAATTTTTATAAATTAATTTTCGTATATTTTATTTTTATTTTATTAAGGACAAAGATGCTCATTTTGCACTTCCTAATGCATTAATAGAGAATTTATGGGAGCAACATACTAATCTTGTAAGTTGAATATTTAGGTAAAAATTAAACTAAATTTTACCATAATGTAATATTTATTTATTTATTTATATCTTATCATTTATTTCATTTTTATTATTCATTAATCTGTATAATGTATAATATTTACTTATAATTTATATTATTTAAAAATTAGAGGTATAAAATAATTTTATATTTTATGGTTATATAAGAAATAAATATGAATTATATGGGATAAATATGTAAAAAAGAAAAAGAAAGGATTTGTTTTATAAATAAAATAATATAATATTTGAAGAGAAAGAAGAATATAAAAGGAATATTCTTTTTTGGTGTAAAAAATAGCGTAATGGGTTGGAGTTACTTTGCACCATTTTGGTGTAAAAAATGGTGCAAGGGTTGGAGATGCCCTTAGAATCTTCGAGATTGATTTGAGAAACTCCATTGTTGTCATTTTCATCACCAACACCCCCTTCTCAAGTTGGAGAGGGATGAAAGTACTCCAGACTTTCCCAACAATCGGTAATGAAATATGCTAGTAGGAGGTTTTGTGAACAAATCGGCGAGCTGAGAAAGGAGCAAACAAATGAGAGAGAAATCAAACCCGTCATGAACTGCTGACAAACAAAATCCAATCAAGATCCATGTGCTTCGTTCTTTCGTGAAAGACGGAATTTTTAGCTACGTGAATTGTGGCTTGTCTGTTTGTCGCGCCCCCTTTTTCTTGCGAAATCAGGCTTGTGACATTTGGGAGGATGACTCGTTCCCTTTTGGGGAATTGGGTTTTGGACTTTAAAGAGTCGCCACCTAATGATTAAGTGCATTAGGACACTAAGAAGGGTTTGAGTTTGAAGAACTAGAGTTTGGGTAAGGGCTAGAAATTATCTCGAGGGCAAGATGTTAGGCACCCCTCAATATCCACTAGTGTGGTTCCCGGCCATGTTACAATTGTGACTTCACATAATTAAATAAACAATTAAAGGCTCAAGTAAGAAGGGGTTCACATATTATTGCAAGCAGATTGAAAGTTTGAAGAGAATAAAGAAAGCAGAAATTTTAAGAAAATAGTTCGGACAATAAAACAAGTTAAAAAGAAAGGGGGTCCTAGGTTTACAAACAATATGGATCACATAAATGCAATACCTGATAATCACTCCTCAAAAGAGAGGTTACACGTGGTATTAGCGCACAGGTCATCATATCCATATCTACCCTTCCCACCCCATTAAGGTATTAAAGCATAGAATGGTTTCGTTACTTATTGCATGCTTGTACCCGCCCCAATCCTATCAGCCTCGGAAGCATTGAGACTACTAATCCTAAACGGGAGGGAGTTGGGGCTTTTCTAGAGTTTTCAAAAGGATAAAAATCTAGGTGACAAGCAATAACAAATAGCAGTTAAAGGGGGAACAAATAGCAGTTAAGGCTCAAGTAGGCCTCCTCATTCAAAGAAGCAAATTATTTAGCATGACTTACAAGTACTGGTTATGGTCTGAAATCAAATTAAAGCGTAGGATAGGCTGATTCATCACATATTTCTAAGATGAGAAGTCTGAATTAGCCTTACCTGGATGTAGTTCTCAAAGACTGACACGGTTAATTAATCACCTAATAGTTTGCCTAAGTGAGGCCTATAGGCATGACATCTAATAGAGCTGTATTGATTTTAAGGAAAAAGTTTGCTAGTTTTATAAAAGGGTCTGCAGACTTTAAGACTGGTTTTAGATTCAAAACGGGACTGGTTCAGTTGATTCATTCCTATAGGCATGATCTCTAAGTGTCATTGATTTAAAAAAAAGATACATAAATGCAAGAACCCTATAGCCATGATATCTAGAATGGATATGTTATTATTAAGCCTAAGATTGTTTGCCTAATGGCGGGTATATGCAGAAATGCAGAAAAACTTATAGGTATGTTTTCTATATGCAGAACCTATAGGCATAATCTCTAAGATGCAGAACTTATAAGCATGTTTTCTAAAATGCAGAAATGCAGGACTTATAGGCATGTTTTCTAAATGTAGTTATGCAGAAGTTATAAAGACTTATAGGCAGGGTTTCTAAATGCATGATGAAACAATCTTATAGGCAGAATTTCTAAATGCATAATGAAACAATCTTATAGGTAGAATTTCTAAATGCAAAATATATAAACGAAAAATGTTGTGATTGCAGAAATAGAACATGAAGCATGATATCTACCCCATATGCATAACATTAGAGGCCCTCCCCCATTTTTTACTATACACCCCATAGTTATTACAAATTATTACAGATCCGAGTGAATCAAAAAGATAAGTAAAATTACATCAGAAGTTCCAGCTACATCTAAACAGCGTAATTCAGACTCGAAGTCCAACAAAATGAGATAAACCAACTTCCAGGATCAGATTTCCAAAAGGCTTTCTTATATTTGGAGTGTGTCAAAGTTTCCAAGAGTCTCAAAGGGACTCTGGGCAATGCTTACACCCCAAAACATTGCAGAATTAAGAACATAGTGCAGTGTGGAAATGTCAGCCCTCAGATGTCCAAGTTCAGAGGGAACTCAAGGTCCCAAAGCAAGGCTCATAAGAGAGGGGTAGAACTTAAGAGTGTAAGAATAAGTGTAAGTGCACTGGGGGAAAGGAATCAGGGAGAGACATGGCAGGCTGGTGGTCATGCCCAGCAATTGGAATGCAGGCACGCCCCTGACCAACCTGCTAGGCAAACATTGAGAGTTAGGATCCATTGTGGATCAGGTTATGGCCTTGGCAGTAATTAGGATACTATCAGGCCAAGACCTTAACTCAGGCATATAGAAGGGAATAGGGGTAGGGA